GGGTTACAAGAACAACGGCTCCCGCGTGAGACTTCGTCACCATTTAGCCAGGACCACCGCTCCCGCCCGAGACTTCCTCGCATATTATTCAAGAATCGCGCTCTCGCTTGGGACTTCCTTACAATTTATACAGGAATCGCTCCTCCGGCGTTGTGGAGTCGCGCACTCGCTGGAGACTTGCTTGCAACTTACTGAAGGATAGCGCCCTTGCGTGGGAATTTCTTGCAATTTACTCCAGCGCCGCGCTCCCGACACCCAGGCACCCAGGAGTCGCGCTCACGCTTAGGACTCCTTCGCAGATTTCCGAGGAATCGAGATCTCGCTGCCCTTCGTGGCCCCGTTGCAGCCCTTCGTGGCCCCCTCGCTTTGTTTCGTGGCCCCGTTGCAGCCCTTTGTGGCCCCCTCGCTTTGTTTCGTGGCCCCGTTGCAGCCCGTCGTGGCCTCCTCGTCGCCCTTCGTGGCCCCGTTGCAGCCCTTCGTGGCCCCCTCGCTTTGTTTCGTGGCCCCCTCGCTGCCCTTCGTTGCCCCCTCGCTGCCCTTCGTGGCCCCGTTGCAGCCCTTCGTGGCCTCGTTGCAGCCCTTCGTGGCCCCCTAGCTGGCCTTCGTGGCCCCGTTGCAGCCCTTCGTGGCCCCCTCGTTTTGTTTCGTGGCCCCATATATGTAAATCCTTCGTGGCCCCCGCTCGTTCGCGCCCGTGGTGGCCCCATATGCATGCCCTTCGTGGCCCCGCTGTCGCCCTTCGTGGCCCCCTCGCTGCCCTTCGTGTCCCCGTTGCTGCCCTCAGTAGCCCCGTCCGTACCCTCCGCGGCCCAACATACGTATGCCTTTCGTGGCCCCCGCTCGTTCGCGCCCGTTGTGGCCCCACGTGCATGCCCTTCGTGGCCCCGCTGTCGCCGTTTGTGGCCCCCTCATTCTCTTACGTGGCCCAGGTGCTACCCTCAGTGGCCCCATCGTTGCCTCCTGTGGCCCCGCATTATCTGCACTTCGTGGTCCACGCTCGTTCGCGCTCTTCGTGGCCCCATACGCATTCCCTTCGTGTCCCCGCTGTCGCCCTTCGTGGCCTACTTCGTGTCCTTCGTGGCTCTGCTGTCGCTCTCTCTCGCTCTCGCTTTCGCTCGTCGTCGTCGTCGCCGTCGCCGTCGTTGCCGTCGTCGTCGACGTCGTCGTCGTCGTCGTCGTCGTCGTCGTCGTCGTCGTCGGTCGTGGTCGGTCCCCTGTCCGTCCTTCTTGGGGTCGGGTCGACGGTCCGCGGCCGCCCCGCCGCTTGCCGGGGCCCGGCCTGCAGGGAAGAAAGGTCTACCCCCCAAAAGGGGTTCGATCTGAAGACGCAGAGGGCGGGTATCGAGGGTTTGGGAAATTCGCGTTATTCGACACTCGAGCAGATAAGGGCGAGCAGTCTTAAACTGATTGTTGTTGTTGTTGTTGTTGTTGTTGTTGTTGTTGTTGTTGTTGTTGTTGTTGAGTCCTCATTTCTGAAGACTAATTCTTGTCGATCCCCCCCGTCCGGTGCACATTGCTTTCTCGATTGAAGTGCCCTTCCCGGGGCTCGCACCTTGTAACTTATCAGGGGAAGTCTTGAGGGTCAAACTGTGTGGCTGGCCCCCGGTTTACAACAACAGCGGTTCCCGCTTGAGACGTCCTCACAATTTAGCTAGGACCCCCGTTCCCGCCCGAGACCTCCTCGCACTTTATTCAGGAATCGCGCTCTCGCTTGGGACTTCCTTACAATTTATTCAGAAATTGCTCTCCCGGCGCTGTGGAGTCGCGCTCTCGCTGGAGACCTGCTTGCAATTTGCTGAAGAACAGCGCCCTTGCGTTGGAATTTCTTGCGATTTACTTAGGCGCCGCGTTCCCGACACCCAGGCACCCAGGAGTCGCGCTCACGCTTAGGAATCCCTTGCGTATTACCTGGGAGTCGGGATCTCGCTACCCTTCGTGGCCCCGTTGCAGCCCTTCGTGGCCCCCTCGCTTTGTTTTGTGGCCCCGTTGCAGCCCCTCGTGGCCCCCTCGCTTTGTTTCGTGGCCCCGTTGCTGCCCCTCGTGGCCTCCTCGCTGCCCTTCGTGGCCCCCTCGCAGCCCTTCGTGGCCCCCTCGCTTTGTTTCGTGGCCCCGTTGCAGCCCTTCGTGGCCCCCTCGCTGCCCTTCGTGGCCCCGTTGCAGCCCTTCGTGGTCCTTTGCAGCCCTTAGTGGCCCCCTCGCTGCCCTTCGTGGCCCCGTTGCAGCCCTTCGTGGCCCCCTTGCTGCCCGTCGTGGCTCCGTTGCAGCCCCTCGTGGCTCCATATCTGTATGCCCTTCGTGGCCCCCGCTCGTTTGCGCCCGCGGTGGCCCCATATGCATGCCCTTCGTGGCCCCGCTGTCGCCCTTCGCGGCCCCCTCGCTGCCCTTCGTTGCCCCGTTGCTGCCCTCAGTGGCCCCGTCCTTGCCCTCTGCGGTCCAATATACGTATGCCCTTCGTGGCCCCCGCTCGTTCGCGCCCGTTGTGGTCCCATGTGCATGCCCTTCTTGGCCCCGGTGTCGCCGTTTGTGGCCCCCTCACTGTGCTACGTGGCCCAGTTGCTACCCTCAGTGGCCCCATCGTTGCCTCCTGTGGCCCCGCATTATCTGCCCTTCGTGGCCCCCGCTCGTTCGCGCTCTTCGTGGACCCATACGCATTCCCTTCGTGTCCCCGCTGTCGCCGTTCGTGGCCTACTTCGTGTCCTTCGTGGCCCTGCTGTCGTTCTCTCTCGCTCTCGCTTTCGCTCGTCGTCGTCGTCGTCGTCGTCGTCGTCGTCGTCGTCGTCGTCGTCGTCGTCGTCGTCGTCGTCGTCGTCGTCGTCGTCGTCGTGGTCGGTCCCCTGTCCGTCCCTCTTGGGGTCGGGTCGACGGTCCGCGGCCGCCCCGCCGATCAGCGCTGCCGCTGGCCAGGCCGACGGTCCGCGGCCGCCCCGCCGCTTGCCGGGGCCCGGCCTGCAGGGAAGAAAGGTATATCCCCCAAAAGGGGTTCGATCTGAAGACGCAGAGGGCAGGCATCGAGGGTTTGGGAAATACGCGTTATTGGACACTCGAGCAGATACGGGCGAGCAGTCTTAAAATGATTGTTGTTGTTGTTGTTGTTGTTGTTGTTGTTGTTGTTGTTGTTGTTGTTTCTGCTGCTGCTGTTGTTGTTGTTGTTGTTGCTGTTGTTGTTGTTGTTGTTGTTGTTGCTGTTGTTATTGTTATTGTTGTTGTTGTTGTTGTTGTTGTTGTTGTTGTTGTTGTTGTTGTTGTTGTTGTTTTTGTTGCTGTTGTTGTTGTTGCTGTTGCTGTTACTGTTGCTGCTGTTGTTGTTGTTGTTGTTGTTGTTGTTGTTGTTGTTGTTGTTGTTGTTGATGTTGTTGTTGTTGTTGTTGTTGTTGTTGTTGTTGTTGTTGTTGTTGTTGTTGGTGTGTGTGTGTGTGTGTGTGTGCCGCCCAGAGTGGGATGCCAGATCCCTGACCTTCCTGGAGGGCAACAAAATAACACCAGGATCTCAACATCTAGATTTCTGTGGGGGTTCGAAGCAGTCCAGATAGGTCTATAGGTCTTGAGGGCTCATTTTTAGCACTCTGGAAGGTCAGGGAAGGGGCCCCCCCGCCAGTGGTCGGGCGATGGGATCTACACATGTCCGCTGCCCCCTGCCCATGCCCACCCCGGCCACACCAGGAGGGCGCACACCCAGACCCACGGTGCCAGATTGGTTCTGCAGCTTGGACCCCCGGAGGCTTCGACCCGCTCCCCAGGACCTGCTTTTCTTCCTGAGTACAGTGCCGTTTTTTAAACATGCTCCGCGTGCGGATCATGTATTATTAATGCAGGGATTCAGTATTAAAAACAACGATGAGTTCATGCATGCATTTCTTCATACATTAATCATGTATGAAAAACCCTATACTTAAACATCCAATGTATTAAAAACTGCCCTGTAGTGTTTGATGGTCTCGGGGCCTGGCGGTTGCCCCCGAGCTGGAGAAGCCATCACAAACATGTCGTGGTGATACGGTGGGGGCCTTCGCGAAGGATTGTGCCCGGGAGGCTTCAGACCCGTGGGGGCTTCCTCACCTGATGAGGGCGACAGTGACATCCATGGCCAGTCCATGATTTGAGTCCCACCGGCTTCCAGACCTTGGATTCCGTATCCATTGGTTCCTTATTCATTGCCCTCACCGTACTCCCCAGACACCCGACATCGTGTTTCTTTTTTTCCGCAGCTTCGACCTCCAGAGGTCCTGACCCCTTCCCTGGGACCAGTTTTTCATCCCGAGTCGTTTTTTGACGTCCCCGAGGCTTGGTAAGGGACCCTGGAGGCCCAAAATGGCGAACAACCTCCCTTCTCACAGCGCGAGCATGTCTGGGTACCCAATGCCCTCACCGTACTCCTGGGCCCAGCATGGGCCTGGCCAGCTGCAGATCTCGCGCCGCGCCCAGCGGGAGGGCCTGAGCTGGCCGCTCCCCCCTCCCCCTGCGAGTCGCCGCCGCCGCTGCTCACCTGGCCAGGGGGGTACGGTGGAGGTATGCTCGAAGGACTCTTTGCTTCCGCGCGGGGGCCTCGTGCGCTCCTCGTGTTGTAAGGATTGGCGGGCGCAGTTCCTTGATGATGGCGAGAAGGGGGGGGAGCACAAACCAAAACAACAAGCATCTGGAAGCGGGGCAACGACTTCACCACGAACGCGACGGCAGACTAGCCAGGCAGCGGCGGCAGGGACCGTCGGCCAGTCGGCGCTCGCTGGCGCTGGCGGCGCAGGCGTCCCCCAGAAGGTGTTGCGCCCTTCCTGTCCTCGGGCCGGCTGTCCGGGACAATTTCCCAAGTCGTGATGGGCACGAGGCCTGTGGTCCAGGGCCTCGACCACTCCCACGACGACTCGAGGAACTCTGCTGACTCGAGCCTCTGCGTTCCTTGACGTCGGCACCCGCGCGTGAAGCCTCCGCCGAGGTGGACGTGTGCAGATCCCCTCGCTCGCAGTGGGAGGGCCTGGCCCGGCCGCGGCCCCCCTCCCCCCCGCGAGGCGCCGCCGCCACTTGCCGCCGCGCCCGCCAGGGCGCCGCCCTCCGCCCCAGGCGCCTGGTCCGCGCCCGCTCCTCCGACTGCCGTTCTCGCGTCGAGGTTCCCAGACCCCCGGCGTCGTGGTCGTTTCGCGACGTCGACCCCCAGAGGCCTGCGAACCCCTGTCCCAGGACCCGGTGCCTCATCCTGAGTAGTTTTTGGACGGTCTCGGGGCCGGGCAAGGGCCCACCGGAGGCTCAAGTAGCGAGGAACCTCCCGTCGTGATCTTTTCTCACAACGCGAGGGAGTCTAGGTTCGAGGTCCGAGGTCTTTTTGGACGCTTTCGTGAATTCCCGGGAAGGTTTTCTCCAGACTTGGGTTGCTCTCCGGCAGCTGCTCCCCGGGCGCGCAGCCCTGGCCGCGCCCCTCCTCTGACTGCCGTCCTTGCGTCGAGTTTTGAGGGCCGAGGTTTTCGGACGTTCTCGTGAGTTTCCAGGCAGGTGTTCTCCAGGCTCGGGATGCTCTCCGGCAGCTGTGCCCCAGGCGCCTTAGCTCAGGCCGCCCCCCTCCCTCCTTTAGAAGACCTCGCGGCGAGGTACGGGGCTTCGAGATTACGGTGGGGGCGTTCGTGAAGGAATGTGCCCAGGCGGTTGCAGACCCTGGAGGATTCCTTATCTGATGATGGCGGCAGTGGCATCCATTGCCGATCCACGATTGGAGTTCCCCCAGCTTCTAGACTCTAGATTCCTTATCCAAGGCTTCTTCATCCAATGCCCTCCGTAGAGGTCCGAGGTTTTCGGATATTCTCGCCGTCGCCCCTCATGAATCCCAGGCCTCCTCCATGTTGTGATTTTCCAGGCGAAGGGCCCAACCATGTGCAGTTGTGAGTATCGCCGTTTTGGGTACCGCCTTCGGTGGATCTCCTTATGGGGCCACGAACCGTAGAAAGGGTGTGCCGAAATGGGGCGGGGACGCTTGCGGGCGCAGCCATTGGGGACTTCGGTGGCATTCCAAATGAGCACACGAAGCGTGTGAGGGGGGTGCCGACATAAAGAAAGGCCGCCATGTGAACGTCGTCACTGGGGCCTTCGGTGGAGCTCTCTATGGGGCCACGAAGCGCTGGAGTGAGTGGGGGAGACACATGCGAACACCGCCACTGGGGCCTTCGGTGGAGAGCGCCTTCAGGGGCCACGAAACGCTGTACTGGGTGGGCGAGATGCATGCGAACACCGCCACTGGGGCTTTCGGTGGAGTTCCCTATGGGGCCACGAAGTGCTGTACTGGGTGGGGGAGACACCGCCACTGGGGCCTTCGGTGGAGATCCCCATGGGGCCACGGCGCGCTGTACTGGGTTGGGAAGACGCATGCGAGCACCGCCACTGGGGCCTTCGGTGGAGACCCCCATGGGACCACGGCGCGCTGTACTGGGTGGGGGAGACGCATGCGAGCACCGCTGCTGAGGCCTTCGGTGGAGCTCCGTATGGGGCCACGAAGTGCTGTACTGAGTGGGACAGACGCATGCGAACACCGCCACTGGGGCCTTAGGTGGAGCTCCCTGTTGGGCAACCTAACGCTGTAGTGAGTGGGCGAGACGCATGCGAACACCGCCACTGGGGCCTTCGGTGGAGAGCGCCTTCAGGGGCCACGAAACGTTTTACTGGGTGGGGGAGACGCATGCAAACACCGCCACTGAGGCCATTGGCGGAGCTCTCTATGGGGCCACGGCGCGCTGTACTGGGTGCGAACACCACCACTGGTGCCTTCAGTGGAGCTTCAAAGCCGCCTATGGGGGGTGCGAAACAATGACGACGATGATGAAGACGACTGCGACGATAATGACGACGACGCCGACGACGACGAATTCGACGACGATGACGATGATGATACTGATGATGGTGGTGGTGATGGTGATGCTGATTCTGATTATGATGCTGATGATGCTGATGATACTGATGATGCTGCTGATGATGATGATGCTGATGATGCTGATGCTGCTGCTGATGATGCTGACGGTGAGGATGACGGTGATGAGGATGCTGCTGCTGCTGCTGATGATGATGATGATGATGATGATGATGATGATGATGATGATGATGATGATGGCAGTGATGATTGTGATGATGGTGCTGGCGATGGAGATGATGATGCTGCTGCCGATTATGATGGTGATGATGATGATGGTGATGACGATGAGTCTGATGAGTCTGATGAGTCTGATGAGTCTGATGAGTCTGATGAGTCTGATGAGTCTGATGAGTCTGATGAGTCTGATGAGTCTGATGAGTCTGATGAGTCTGATGAGTCTGATGAGTCTGATGAGTCTGATGAGTCTGATGAGTCTGAGTCTGAGTCTAATGATGATGCTGATTATGATGATGATGATGATGATGATGATGATGATGATGATGATGATGATGATGATGATGATGATGATGATGATGACGATGATGATGCTAATGATTCTGATGCTGATGATGAGGAGGATGATGGTGATGACAATGACGACGATGGTGTTGATGCTGATTTGGCCCGCCAGTTCCCCCATCCCTCCTCCAGTGCTCAGCGCAGATGCCCCGCCAGTTCCCCCTCTTCCTCCTCCTCCTCCTTCTCCTCGTGTCGTCGTCGTCCTCCTCCCTCCCCTGCCCTCTTTCCCTCTTGCGACTCTGGGGATGTTAAGTTTAGCATCGGCGCTAGGATGTCTTGAGGTCTGCTCCTGCCCAACTCGGCCCAGTCTGGTTTAGTCGGGCCTAGCCTGGCCAAATTCAGCTCAATCTGGTGCTGATTCGGGTCTGCTCTGGCTTCGCAGCCCACTGCTCGGGCTTGTTCGTCTCTGCACTCGTTCCCGCGAGGGACCTCCCAGGAGTTGCCTTGCCTCCTGACCCTCGCTCCCCCCTGGGGGGGCGAGGCGCAGCCGGGGGCCGCCCTCTCTTCCAGGGTCCACTGCGATCTGTTCGATCCGATTCGACATTCATGCCGGCTGGCTCGCTCCGGTCCGCTTCCGATGCTCTTGCGGGCCCCATGCGGCCCGATGCTCGCATTGGGCGCAGCTGCGCGTCCTGCCCCAGCCGGCACGCTCCGGCCCCGACTCTGTTCCGATGCGGCCCGAGCCGACGCGTCTTCCGGCCCGATCCGATTTTCCGAGTCGACGCCGGCTGATCCTGGGAGTCGCCCCCTTTGGGGTGAGGCGCAGCGGGAACTCGTCTTCGTGCTCCGACGTGTTGTATTTCCCCACCATCCTGTGGTGATGGGTCCTCGTTTTGAAGGGACAGCGCCCCGCGTTCACTCCTCCCTCTGCCCCCTCCCTCCTCTTCCTCCTCCTCCTCCTCCTCCTCCTCCTCCTCCTCCTTTCATCATCATCATCATCATCATCATCATCATCATCATCATCATCATCATCATCATCATCATCATCATCATCATCATCATCATCATGATCAGCATGATCATCACCATCATCATCACCATCCTCCTCCTCTTCCTCCTCATCATCATAACCATCAGCATCCGTCATCATCCATCATTATCACCAGCATCATCATCATCATCATCATCATTACCATTATCATTACCATTATCAGTACCATTACCATTACCATTTTCATTACCATTATCATTGTCATTGTCACTGTCATTTTCATTGCCATTCTCATTCTCGTTATCAGTGTTCTTATTATCATTATCGTTATCAGTATCAATATCATTATCATTATCACTACCAATATCATGATCGTTCCCATTATCATTGGCATTATCATTACATTATCATTATCACGATCATCATCATCATCATCATCATCATCATCATCATCATCATCATCATCATCATCATCATCATCATCATCACCCGTTTCAGCACACCCCTCACACGTTTCATGGCCCCAAAGGGAGCTCCACCGAAGGTCCCAGTGCTACCGCCCGCATGCGCCCCCCCCCCCCCACCCAGTACAGCGTTCCGTGGCCCCATCGGGAGCTCCACCGACAGCCCCGATGGTACCACCCGCATGCGTCCCCCCCACCCAGTACAGCGTTTAGTGGCCCCATAGGGAGCTCCACCGACGGTCCCAGTGGTGCTACCGCCCGCATGCGCCCCCCCCACCCAGTACAGCGTTTCGCGGCCACATAGGGAGCTCCACCGAAGGTCCCAGTGCTACTGCCCGCATGCGTCCCCCCCACGCAGTACAGCGTTTCGTGGCCCCACACGGAGCTCCACATAATTCCAGTTCTACCGCCCGCATGCGTCCCCCCCACCCACCCAGTACAGCGTTTCGTGGCCCCATAGGGAGCTCCACTGACAGCCCCAGTGCTACCGCCATGCGCCCCCCCCCACCCAGTACAGCGTTCCGTGGCCTCATAGGGAGCCCCACCGACGGCGCCAGTGCTACAGCCCGCATGCGTCCCCCCCCCTGCCCAGTGCAGCGTTTCGTGGCCCCGTAGGGAGCTCCACCGAAGGTCCCAGCGCTACCGCCCGCATGTGCCCCCCACCCAGTACAGCGTTTCGTGGCCCCATCGGGAGCTCCACCGAAGGTCCCAGTGCTAGTGCCTGCTGGCGTCCCCCCGACCCAGTACAGCGTTTCGTGGCCCCATAGGGAGCGTTACCGACGCCCCCAGTGCTACCGCCCGCATGCGTCCCACCACCCAGTACAGCGTTTCGTGGCCCCATAGGGAGCTCCACCGACGGCCCCAGTGCTACCGCCCGCATGCGCCCCCCCCACCCAGTACAGCGTTTCGTGGCCCCGTAGGGAGCTCCATTGACGGCCCCATTGCAACCGCCCGCATGCGTCCCCCCACCCAGTACAGCGTTTCGTGGCCCCCATATGGGGGTTCCACCGAAGGTCCCATTGCTACCGCCCGCATTCGTCCCCCCCACCTAGTACAGCGTTTCGTGGCCCCATAGGGAGCTCCACCGAAGGTTCCAGTACAACCGCCCGCATGCGTCCCCCCCACCCAGTACAGCGTTTCGTGGCCACATATGGAGCTCCACCGGCGGCCCCAGTGCTGCCGCCCGCATGCGTCCCCCAACCCAGTGTATCGTTTCGTGGCCCCGTAGGGAGCTCCACCGAAGAAGATAATCACACTTGCGGTACTTACAACTTGATCTGGTTGCGTCTTTCGCCAGGATAACTTTTGGCACACGGTTCAAGGACATCTCGACTCTGTGCCCAGGGTCAGCTTTTCATCCCGAGCCGTTTTTTTGACCGCCCCCGGGGCCAGTCGAGGGCCTCTGGAGGCCGAAACCGGGGAGAGACTTCCGCCGTGCTTTCTCGATGCGTTGAGGGTCTAGGTCCCCCCCGTTCAGTTCAAATGCCTGGCGTCCTGTGGGCCGCGAAGCTGCTCACGAGAGGCGCGCGCTGTACAGGCGGCCGCTGCGCCTGCCGCCAAGCAGAGGGGGAGGAGGAGGAGGAGGAGGAGGAGGAGGAGGAGGAGGAGGAGGAGGAGGAGGAGGAGGAGGAGGAGGAGGAGGAGGAGGAGGAGGAGGAGGAGGAGGAGGAGGAGGAGGAGGAGGAGGAGGAGGAATAGGAGGAGGAGGAGGAGGAGGAGGAGGAGGAGGAGGAGGAGGAGGAGCTGGACCAGTGTAAACCCAGGAGCCGTCAACGATGTTGGAGTAAACCCTCCCTCCAAGCTCCCTCTTAAGAGCCCCTTTAAACGGTTCATTTTCATTGAGGGAACTGCCTCGTTGGAAGACAACTGTGTGAAGACCCTGAAGCATGCCAAAACATTGTTCTCGGGATTCCAGCGCCACAGATCAACCTGACTGTTGCGTGTTCACGATCCTGCGTCGTGCCAGAACGCCATTCCTGAGACTTCAACACAGCGAGCCAACGGAACTGTTGCACCCGCGTAATCCTGAATCCTTTCAAAACACAATTTCTGGTACGTTGATGGTGCGAATCCGTGAAAGGCGAGAACCACATTTTGAAAAGGAACCGCTCCCAATCCGTGACACTCTTGCAAATCTTTTGAATGAATGAGCGCCGCGCTAAGGCGAGAGCCACATGTTGAAAACGGGTCGCCCTCAATTCGTTAAGCTCTTGCAGATCTTTACAACGAATGTGCGCCGCACTAAGGCGAGAGCCACATGTTGAAAACCACCCGCCCTCAACCCGTGAAGCTCTTGCAAGTTTAGAAACGAATGTGCACCGCGCTAAGGCGAAAGCCACATTCTGAAAACCACCCGCCCTCAATACGGAAGAATGTTCGCCGCGCTAAGGCGAGAGCCACATTTTGAAAACGACCCGCCCTCCATCTGTGAAACGGTTGCCAATTTTTCAGCTTCAGAATCGTACATGGTGAGGTTGTCTCGGGCGAAGCGCCCGGCCTGCCCTAAAAAGTGGCCTCAGGGTGCGACAGGGAGACGTTACTTATATGGACAAGGATTGGAGGAGGAGGTGGAGGAAGAGGAGAAGGAGGAAGAGGAGGAAGAGGAGGAGGAGGAGGTGGAGGAGGTTGAGGAGGAGGAGGAGGTGGATGATGATGATGATGATGATGATGATGATGATGATGATGATGATGATGATGATGATGATGATGATGATGATGATGATGATGATGATGATGATGATGATGATGATGATGATGATGATGATGATGATGATGATGATGATGATGATGATGATGATGATGATGATGATGATGATGATGATGATGATGATGATGATGCTGATGATGATGATGATGATGATGATGATGATGATGATGATGATGATGATGCTGATGCTGATGCTGCTGCTGCTGCTGCTGCTGATGATGATGATGATGATGATGATGATGATGATGATGATGATGATGATGATGATGATGAAGAGGAGGAGGGGGAGGAGGAGGAGGGAGGAGGAGGAGGAGGAGGAGGAGGAGGAGGAGGAGGAGGAGAGGAGGGGGCGGAGGAGGAACACAACTGTCCCCTCCTCCCCCGAGGCGAAGGCGCCGCCTCCCTTGGCGCCGACATCCTGGCGTTGATCGGGGGAGGCTGCCCCCCTCCGCCTGCCGCCCCCGCTCTGCGGACCCCCGGAAGCTCGTGCTCCTGCCGCCCTCTCTTCTTCGAGGGGATTGTGCGACCCAGGATTCTGCGAGATGCAGCGGGAGAGATCCCAGGAGAAGGAGGAGGAGAAGGAGGAGGAGGAGGAGGAGGAGGAGGAGGAGGAGGAGGAGGAGGAGGAGGATGAGAAGCGGCCGCTGCGCCTGCCGCCAAGCAGAGAGGGAGGAGGAGGAGGAGGAGGAGGAGGAGGAGGAGGAGGAGGAGGAGGAGGAGGAGGAGGAGGAGGAGGAGGAGGAGGAGGAGGAGGAGGAGGAGGAGGAGGAGGAGGAGGAGGAGGAGGAGGAGGAGGAAGGAGGAGGAGGAGGAGGAGAGGAGGAGGAGGAGGAGGAGGAGGAGGAGGAGGAGGAGGAGGAGGAGGAGGAGGAGGAGGAGGAGGAGGAGGAGGAGGAGGAGGAGGAGGAGGAGGAGGAGGAGGAGGAGGAGGCGGAGGAGGAGGAGGAGGAGGCGGAGGCGGAGGCGGAGGCGGAGGCGGAGGCGGAGGCGGAGGCGGCGGCGGCGGCGGCGCGGCGGCGGGCGGAGGAGGAGGAGGAGGAGAGGAGGAGGAGGAGGAGGAGGAGGAGGAGGAGGAGAGGAGGAGGAGAGAGGAGGAGGAGGAGGAGGAGGAGGAGGAAGGAGGAGGAGGAGGAGAGGAGGAGGAGGAGGAGAGGAGGAGGAGGAGGAGGAGGAGGAGGAGAGGAGGAGGAGGAGGAGGAGGAGGAGGAGGAGGAGGGAGGAGGAGAGGAGGAGGAGGAGGAGGAGGAGGAGGAGGAGGGAGGAGGAGGAGGAGGAGGAGGAGGAGGAGGAGGAGGAAGAGGAGAAGGAGGAGGAGAAGGAGTAGTCCGTAGCCACTTTGGCTCAAGCACGGGCCCGAGCACGATTGCCCGCAGGCGGCGGGAAGCTCGGAGCCGCGCGGCTGGGCGACCCCATCGAGCGCGTCGCACACGCGTCGCCTAAGTTCGGAGCCGCCCAGCGATGATGTTTACATATGTCGATCAGGAGCAGAAAAAAACACAGACACAATTAATCGTCGATTCCCAGAACATATGAAAACTATGGGCAGTGTGGGGGAAGACAGAAGCCCAGAACATATGGGAACATATGGGGAATCCTTTCATTTGTGTGTATTTATTTGTGTGTCCCAGGGCCCCTTCAGTTGACCCTGAGACGCTATGGCAACGGCGACCTCGCGACGACACCAAAGCATCAGCAGAGGCAGGGCAATCCGCATGACAAGAAGGCACTCCGCCTGGAGATCTCTCGGGATGCGTACGCACCAAACTCTGACTGCCCAGAAACAAGCGTTACGCTGGGACCGATGTCCACCCATGGCAGGTGAATGCGAAGAGTCTGATTTATATATGAAGGGGATGATGCGCACGCGCCGCCAGATGTCCCGGCTGCCTGCGCAAGAGGAGGAGATCTGCTGATGGCGTGTGTGCTACTGGCGCACCTTTCCCAACCAGGCAGACGCGCTCAAGGCGCGGTAA